ATTCACTTACTGATTTAAAAGTTATAGCATGAAAACTATAACAAGCACAAAATGGTTACAAGGTTGGTCCCAGGGACAGAGTCCATGTTGAAAGAGTTAAAGAACAAAAGAAGAAACATTTACAAATCAAATTTTATTTATAATTACTTTCAAGAATAACAACCTAGACAGGAAAATAAAAAAATATTATACATTATAATATGAGAAACTAGGAAAAGTTTTGTTGGTAGGTAATTAGCTTTATATAAATGATTGTACGACAACATATGTACAGAAACATAAATAACATTCATTTTTAGCATAGCATTTTTTCTTACAATTCAACTGAATGTGCATGAGGTTGGTTCCTTGGACTGAACCTGTATTGGAGAATGAAGTTGACTATAATTGTGAATTTACTACATGTATCTACATAAGTTGTGGAAAGCTTTTAGTTGATTGTACATGTCAGTTCTACAAGAAGAACAGATGTGTTACAAACATATTTGTACTCGATATGTTTGTGAATTGCTTATATCAGTTTGACTTGGACTCTCACAAATCGGAATGCAAGGTCACATCTATGTGAAGAAGAAAAATACTTTTCTTTACTTTACTGTTTGCATAACTTCTAGAATCTCCTAAATGTACATCTAAAATTTTTTTCAGTATCCTTGTACCTATCTGGTATTTACTCTTCTATACCACGAACTGTTGCTAAATGTAGGTGGCAACCATTGCATGTAAACTGGTACCTGTAGATGCTGTTTCATTCTGAGTTTGAATGTTTTGATCAACAGGGTACCAGTTCACTGTGGCATGCTGTCTTATTTTCTTCCTTTGACAATGAGTTAATAATAAGAGGGCTATGCCTGAACTTTGAGGTCTCTTACCTGGCCTTTTAGTGTATTTGTTGCATATGGTGCTGTCAGGTTGAAAATACCATAATTTTATTATTACTGATATGTACCTTTCAAGAGTTGAATTCACATCTGCATATGATATTTTAAAATTTAAGTTAAAAGTTTAATACAAATTATATTTCAACAAATTATTTTAAAATTTATATTTTATAATTATATAACATTTATTTAGTGTATTATACGAAGAAAAACGTATAAAATGTTCAACATTCATTTCTGCATAGCTTAAATACATTTATTGATTTTCTAAGAAATTTTCTACATATTTTTTATGTATAAGTTTATGTTTGATAAGAAACTATTATACTTTTTCATTCTCTTTAAGTTGTTTTATTACTACAATACTTACTTACCAACCTTGTATGTCAGTGTGTGTGGTCTGAACAATTACTAATGAAACTGAGCCTTTAAAATATAGAAAAATGGAACTTTATTATCAGTAACTGAAACAAATTTAAATTCTAAGATGAAAGGAAGTGTTTTGTATATATTTTTTTTCTTTTTAAAACATTGCCTCATAAAAGTAAGGCTTAGCTCTCTAGTAGAACTCTGGGATTTGGAGCTGGCAAGTTAAGTTCAAATCCGTGCGATATCACTAATTATTCCTCACGCTTTGAGCTATGGATGCATTATAAGAGTGACAGACAATCCTTTAGCTTGGATGGTGGGTGGTAAGGTGCTGCTAGCTTGCTGCCTTCCCACTGTTCAATAATTCAAAATTGGAGAGTGATAGTTTTAGTAGATTTGCCATAGAATAAAAATACAAGTATCACAAAAACCTTTTTGATATTTCATAACCTAATAAATTATGAAAATACCAAATGAGATTATATTAATTTTTTCAAACCAAAACTAGATACTATTTATAGAGGTAAGTTTGTGCAGTATATTTAAGTGTAACTGATATGTTAGAAAAAATTAAGAGATATTGAGGATGGATACCCTTTGGTATGGAAAGGATTAAGAAAATTTTTTTCCTGCAAAATGGAATAGGAAAGTGTGTATAATTATGGAAAAAGTAAATTAAATGGATATCAAAAGCATATATTATGGGATTAATTCCACAATAATGTACAAAAATGAATTATTTTGCAGATTACAGTCATGTGCTGATATTTTATACTGTAATTGAATGTCATCCAACCAGTCAGTACCTCACTAGCATAATGTCTATAAGAGTACATTCATACTATTCCTAATAGTAATGTGGTGATTGCACTTATGCCTCCCAGGATAGAAATGGCACATGACAAACATTTATAAATCAAAGGTTTGACTGAAGAAGATAACTCCATCTGACAGATTGAGTAAAAATTTCATGTCTATTTAAGAACTGTGTGGAAACTGGAGAATATATGTGAAATAACTACTGTTGATAATAGAAGTAACTGAGGTAGAAAGTTTTATATCATTGAAGACAGTATAAAAGACCTTTTATTTTTATCTTGGAAAATATGTTGCAGTACTGCTTTGATGCTCGTTAAAGATACATTTGCTTGATAAAGCTTTAAGTGAGTGTTAACTAATATTTTAAATGGAGTGATTTGAATATCTTTAGATGTATAGCATTCTAAAACTTCCTTTTTGTAGACTTGAGTTATTTTAAAATTAAAAATTTCCTAAATGTTAGAAAACTAGTATTTAATTTAGTGTATTGGGTATTTTTCCTTTTATTTTCATGGCATCATTAGTTTTATGAAATATGTGAAGAATATAATCTTGGGAATTCAACAACTCAAAAGTAATATTTGATAAATCTAGATTCATTTCTTTTTTTATTTAGATTCCAAGACATACATTAACAAATACAGTGAAAAGCAGCTTATCATGACTCAAGACATAGAAAGTACAGGAGAAGTTTCAGGCTGTGAACATGTCAATTGTAGTAATTTAGCAGAGAAATCTAGTTGCCTTGAAAGAGACCAGTACAATAGTGATGAGTTGGGTAAAACGTTTGAACATGATTCACATATACATAGTCACGAATTGATCAATGAAGAAAATAATCAGAATAGTCCTGATACAGGTGACAAACATTACTTGAGTAACTTTCATAGTGTCCACACTGGAGATGAACCACACAGTTGTGGTATATGTGATAAAAGATTTCATAGTAGAAATGATTTAAGACAACATCAGATGGCACACGGTATAAATAAAAAGTACAGTTGTAATGTATGTGGCAAAAATTTCAAAACCAAGAGTAACCATAAATTGCATCAGAGGAACCACACTGGAGAGAAACCATACACTTGTAATTGGTGTGGAAAAAAATTCAAAACAAAAAGTTACCTTAAGTTACACCACAGGATCCACACTGGAGAAAAACCATACTCTTGTAATTGGTGTGGAAAACAGTATTCAAGACAACATAACCTAAAAGAACATAAAAAACTCCACACAGGAGAAAAACCATATAGTTGTGATATGTGTGGCAGAAAATACAGATTACTAGATAGCTTTATAAAACATAAGAGTACACACAATACAGAAGAACCATACAGTTGTGATGTATGTGACAAAACATTTAAAACTAGAAATTATTTAAGGCAACATCAGATGTCACACAATACAGAGGGAATGTACAGCTGTAATGTGTGTGGCAAAAAACTCCAAACAATAGGTAGCCTACAATTACATCAGAGAATCCACACTGGAGAGAAACCATACACTTGTGATTGGTGTGGTGAACAGTTTTCAAGAAGAGATAGACTGTATGAACATGAAATGATTCACATAGGAATAAAACAGTACTGTTGTGATGTTTGTGAAAAAAAATTCACAAAATTAGATAGCTTTAGAAAGCATAAGTTGACACACACGTTGCCACACAATATAGAAGGAAAGTACAGTTGTGATGAGTGTGGTGAAAAGTTCCAAAAAAAAATTGACTTGAGAAACCATCATAGTGTCCACACTAAAGAGGAACTATACAGTTGTGTTCATTGTGGTGAAAAGTTTTCAAGACAAGATACCCTAGATATACATGAAATGATCCACAAAGGAGAAATACCTTACAAATGTGATGTTTGTGGAAGAATATTCACAAGTGTAAATAACTTTAGAGATCATCAGTTAACACACATTATAGAGGGACAATTAACTTGCATTGTAGAGGGAATGTACAGTTGTGATATGTGTGATAAAAAATTTGAAAGTAAAGATTACTTAAGGCAACATTGGAGGTTGCACAATGTAGAGGGAGTGCACAGTTGTGGTGTGTGTGGCAAAAAGCTCAAAACAATATATAACCTTAAATTACATCAGAAAATCCACACTGGAGAGAAACCATACACTTGTGATTGGTGTGGCAAACAATATGCATTAAAAGATAGCTTTAGAAAACATCAGACTACACACATCATAAAGGAAATGTTTAGTTGTGATGTATGTAATAAAACATTTAAAAGTAGACATAATTTAAAGCAACATCAGAGAAAACACAATGTAGAGGAAATGCATGTTTGTGAGGTTTGTGGCAAAAAACTCCAAACAATAAGTAGCCTTAAATTACATCAGAGGATCCACACTGGAGAGAAACCATTCATTTGTGATCAGTGTGGTGAACAGTTTTCAAGAAAAGATACCCTAAATGTACATAAAATAATACATACAGGAGAAAAACCATACAGTTGTGATGTTTGTGGTAAAAAATTCAAAACAGTATACAGCTTAAGAAAACACCAGTTAAAACACAGTGTAGAAAAAAAGTACAATTGTAATGAATGTGGTGAAAAATTCAAAAATAAAATTGACTTACAGAACCATTGTAGTATACATACTGGGGAGGAACCGTATGTCTGTGATCAGTGTGGTAAAAAATTTTCAAGACAAGATATCCTAAATATGCATGAAATTATTCACACAGGAGAAAACTCCTTCAGCTGTGACATTTGTGGCAAAAGGTTTCCAACAGTTGATAGATTTAGAAAACATCAGTTGAAGCACAATACAGAGGAAAAGTACAGTTGTGATGAATGTGGTGAAAAATTAAAAAAAAAATTGAATTGAGAAACCATCATAATATCCATACTGGGGAAGAACCATACAGTTGTGTTCATTGTGGTGAAAAGTTTTCAAGACAAGATACCCTAGATATACATGAAATGGTCCACACTGGAGAAATACCATACAAATGTGATGTTTGTGACAGAATATTCACGAGTGTAAGTACCCTGAGATTACATCATTTGAAACACAATTTAGATGAAAAGTACAGTTGTGATGTGAGTGGCAAAAAACATACATTAGTAGGTAGCTTCAGAATAAATCCGAGTACACACAATAAAGAGGGAAAGTACAGCTATAATGAGTTTGATGAAAAATTCTCAAGTGGAAGTAACTTGAGAAAACATAAAGTTCTCCACTCTCAAAATGACTTATACATTTGTGAAGTCTGTGGTAAAGTATGTTATTTTGAAAATGCTTTAAGGCAACATAAGATAATTCACACAAACAAAAAACCTTTTATTGTTCATTTGTGATATATATATATATATATATATATATGAGACATTTATTAAGGATACTGAATGTTAGGGATATGTGGTCAGTTAAAATGACTGACCTTGCAACTATTGTGTAATCAACAGGTAACCATAAAAGTATATGTACTATAACTTTTAATGCAGTAAGTGAATATCTACAAAAGTTGACAAGCTTTTCAAATGTTTTCTACACAAAAATATCAGATTCTTTCATTAAGTACTTTTACTAAAGATTTGTTTTTTAATTTGTGTATTCAAACTCTGACTAGTCTGAGTACAGGTGATTTTCATGTTAAGATTAAAAATGCTTTTCTGTCTTACAGTTTTCAGGTTTCATTTGCATAACTTCTTGAACCTCCTAAATGAATATCAGGAGTTGTTCTTTGTGTAAAACCATATTTTATTTAGAATCTATCAATAAGACTGATCTCATACCTACTTCCAAAAAACACAATAAAATAAATCTAAATTACCATTTCTTTATTTCAGAATGTCTGCACATTGTAACAGATAATTACATACTATTTATTTTTACAGCCTAAGCTAATAGATTTTTTTCACCTAATTATGTTTATTTACAGTCAAACTTTGACTTTCAGACTACAATAACAGCTATTTATTACACTGGACAGATTTTTGTGAATGATGAATCCAGTTATCAACATGTTTGTACCAAATTAAACAACTATGCTTGCACTTGATGTGTGCTATCATTGATTGGTCATTTATTTCATTTAAAATTATTTATAAGTTTCTAATTTTTACTTATTAGTAATATGTATAATGATAAATAAACAGTATACATAAAAAATAAAAACTTTACTACTTATATCTTAAATTTTGTGTTATTCAAGAATTTTCATTCATACAATTCATCTCCATGTCAAAGTAATGATAATGTGGTCTCAGAATTATTTTTTTTCAAAATTCATATATCCAATTTAGAATATAAAATGTTTTTATGCATATAAGGTAGAATCTCCTAAAGATAATATTATTTGCCTGGCTTTCCACCTAAAAAATAAAAATGTATCAAAATAATTCACATACCTGGTCAAGCAGAGCTCCAGTAATGGCATACAAAGAAAATGATGCCAAAATATTCAATTCCCCTTACTCCAAGGCCTTTAGATTCTATAGCTGTCAGTTATGTGAAATCTTCACTTTCTGTTGGTTACAAATAACACAATAGCAGAGATCAGAGAGAGAGAATTTATGCCAATTTTTGTAAGCACAATTCTCTGTAAGAGGTGTGGCATGTGGCCTTCACTTTTTTATTTATATCTTTATAAAACAAAAAGCTTTTTTGCTACAAACTGATATTTAAGTGCGGGGATATGTACAGTATAAGTGGGAAATTTCATAGTAGCAGAAAATGTATAAATGGGCAGTTTTGACTGAAGAAGTGTCACATGATAAAAGAAAGTGAAGAGATAGTATTTATTTAAATATTTTCTTTCAAAATTATGAAATCAAAATGTAAATGATATTAAAATTTGAACAGTAAACTACGTTTTGATGTCAAGCTTATTGACATATATATAGCTCCTAAAGTAGTTTGATAAGGTTTTGAATGTAACTACGTAAATTGGTTGTGATGTGCACTTTGACCCACCCGTGCTGAAAAGGTTCAAAGGCCTTAATGTTCATTGTGCAAATAAACAATATTAAAAATATCCACACTATAAAATGCTTACATTCATGTGTGAGGAGTGAATGTACACCAAACCAAAATCACAACTGAAAATGTAACCATTAAATTTTTTGGTAGTATAAAAATTCCTTCCATTCTTTTACTGAAGTAGGTCCAACCCTTAAAAAAGGTTAATGCTGTTAGAAATTGCTGTTGTATTACATAACTTATGACAGATTATTATTAGATATGAAGTTAATTCATATCATAAGTTGAAAAAATCCAGTACAATCTCAAAATTGGTTCTGCATTCTCACAAAATGACAGAAGCAGTTTTGATATGTGGAACTGGAGATAAAAGATAAAGATCAGCTATGTAGAAAAAAACAAATGTGATAGTATTAGAACGTGTAAAGACAGACAGTTACCGGACGTATGCAAGAAATGGAAGGTTTGCTACTTTGGGCATGTAGTTGAATGTGAGAGATGGTTGACAGAGATTCTGATGGGTAAAACTGAAGGAATAAGTGAAGCATACAGAAACTCATTTGATTTGGGAGCATTAGAAAATCGCAAAGGATATACAAAGGTTGTATTTGGAATTTTGATGCAAAAAATGAAAAATAGGCAACTATAGCTGGAGAACTATAGCTGTTGACCCTCGTGATTAGGGAATGTTCCAAATTTGTCACATGAAGAGATTAGATGTGTATATACCACTATTCAAGAAACTTATATATTTTTTGAATAAGTATGCAAAATTTAAATTGTGAGAAAACAATACGCAGCCTATTGCTCCCTGTGTACAAAGCTTTTCAATTATTGACTTTCCCTTAAATGTAGAAATGTGATAAATAGTTCTCAATAGTTTCCTATATTCTTTATTTGTTATTAAATCTTTTGACTAAATTTATTTTTCTTTAACCTCATTATATTTTTTTTAGCAACATTGTTATTTGATACATGTTAGGTGTTAGAAGTGGAACATAACATAAAATTTTTCACAAGAAAAACTTGTCTGAAAGTGACCTTATGTAATCCAAATAGTTATTAAACCTTTCCTTAAAGACTTTACAGCATCCACCACATCTGAAGGCAACCCAGTCTACAGGCCAACATTATGTTAGAATAATAAAACTGCCTTAGGTGAAGATGACATCTAACCTGGCAAAATTTATATTTGTGTCCCCTAGTCCTACCATTCTCACCATTATGTATGAAAAAAAGATGATACATTATTACTATCTATTTCCTTAATAGTCTTAAACACCTAAATCAGATCTCCTCTGATTCTCCTTTTTTCAGAATAAAACAATTTCAGAGATCTTAACCTGCTCTTGTATAACCATTTTTCCATCCTAGGTATCATTCTAGTAGCTCTCATCCGAACCCTTTTCAACAATTCAATGTCCAAAGGAACACAAACTAAACACAGTATTCCAAATATCGCATACATAGTGACCTATACAATGAAATTATTACCTCTTTAGACTTGTATTCAGTATTATTTAGGTACAGTATAAAGTTGCATTTGCTCTACCACTAGCAATAATAACACTAGAACACCCAGATCGTTTTCTTCCATTGAATTGAGTGTTCTTACTTGAATTGAAAATTGGATTAGAGTACAGAATTGCTTGTGGATCAAATATGTAACATTTATCTTTTCAATACTCTTTGTAAATGAAATATACAAAACTTATCCCAGTTTTTTCTTTTTTGGTATCTGGACTTCCTGGTTGTTGTTTCTGCAGTCTAGATAAGAAGAAAATTATAGCATTATCAAATTTTTTCCAGTTTCTTTGACAAAAAATTTAAATTAGTATAACTACTGAATATTAAAGACCAGAGACAATAAGGTATTTTTTGTGCTTGAATGTGCATATTATATCGCACTTAAAATAATACGATTAAAAAGAAAGTCATGAAATACTCAATCTCATGTGGCTCCAAGCCAAATTTGGTCACGGTTGGCTAGCTTCAAGAAAAACTATCGCAAGCACCACATGGCGAACTGGGCGGGCAATCCTATGTCACACAAGGTAAACAAAAATGGCAACAGCACCTGAAGAGGGAAGTAGATGTAACGTGTCTATGTTGGCCGAAATGTACGAGGACTGGCAGTTGTCTGATGTTTCTTGGTATGGAATTGTTTCATAGTTATATGTTACAGTGACATAAAAGACTGTTTTGCACTGTTAATGTCAGGTAAATGGGACGAAATTTACAGCCATCAGTGTGGTCACATAGACAACAATACAGTAAATCTATGAGTAAATTGTAGTCAACATTTGTTTTTTCAAGTGATGGATCTATATCTAGATGTAGATGTAATATCAGCTGATGGACTCCCGATACTGTATTCTGCACATGCTCTGGCTTGTATGCATATGACTAAGTATACATTAAGACTGGACAAGTAAACATAGCTTGGACAATATTTCGATAACCAGTATTGTAGATCTAGCATTTTTTTTTGTTGCATATTGATAACTCCAATTAAATCTCATAACGAATTTTTGTTTAGCAGATCTACTATAGTGTGTTTATAAAACCTGAATGTTTGCTGACAATTCTATATTGCATTTAAAACATTAGCTAAAACCTGAGTTTACATTGCATGCCTCTCGTTTTTGAACAGCTGATCAGACAGGACTATCATCGCTGTTATTGGACTGTGAACAAGAGCGTGATGTGCCACTGGCATGAGCCTGGCTGCTGCTTGGTGGATCTCCCTTGAACATTGAATACACACCTGGCTCTGCACTTTTCTTTAGTACCAGTTTTTTGTTATTGTTGTATTTTGCAAATTCCATATCAAATTGTAGTTTATTTTCGAATTCTGATTCCAAAAAAGTGTTCATCGCATACACGGCAGTTTTCAGCGGACTCCGTTTATCACGTGTTCTTGATACGAAGTTTGTTCGGGCCCTGTGCCGTTTACTGTCTGACTTAGGTGGAAACTCGTGCAGAGATACCTCCTTTTCCTTGGGAACGTTCCCACATCCATAAACAACACAGC